TTTTTCTGTTTTCTGTAACTTAGAGAGTCTCTTTGGAATTTTTCACAATAACGGTTTCCTTTTCCTTCTTATTTTATAGCTTTGAAGAAAGATGACACCACCTTTGATGAGGTAGGTTGAATTTCTTTATCTAATGTTAGATGTATTTAATTACTGCCAGGTAAAGTCAGTAGGTGCCAACTTTGTACTTAGAAACAAACAAAAAAAGCTTTTAAAACACACAAGAGATGACATTTGTTTATTTAGTTACATTATGTTATTTTCAAATTTTAAATAATTGTTTAAATGAATTTTGGTAGCAAGTAACAGAAATAGGTCTTTTTCAGTTAATAAACGAACTAATTAGAAGACACATGCAGGCCTTTGTGTTGTTGCCTTCTTGCTGGTGGTGGTGCTTGAGACATGCAGTGTGCTTAAGGCAAGTCTGGAGCTGTTGGTAAGTTGGGCACCATGGCTTCTTGCAGACCTCAGCTGAATCAGGGTGTGATGTGTCGTTGATGCCACATGTTGTCTGTCAGTCTCCCAAAGGAGGCGTTGACTTTTCCTATTCTAGTTTCCCTCTTCTTTCTATATCAGATCTGTCTTGATCTACTTGCCACAAAGTAGTATAAAATCCTTTTCAAGCAAGGCAGAAGATTCATATGTAATTAATAGCATCCTAAATGTGATTTTAAAATTACAGTCATTCCTGAATTTTTGTGGGAATCACCAGAGAAGTAATGAATGTTCACAAAATATTTTCAAAGTGCTAAAAAGTGAAATGTTTCATTGTAATCATCCTAAGCCACACTGATTGATCTGTGTTGTACATTGGGCCACATGTGTATGTAGATTGTTTTTATATAGGAACATAGGTGTTATCTATACAATGTGCTTACCCTAATACCTGATGAAAGTATAAATTGGTTTGGTGGTTTGGTTTGTTTTAATAGTTACATATTCCATGAAATATGCTACCTGTCTTCCCTCTGCTGCAGTGCTTCAGTGAAGAAAGGGCATTTGTGCTCATGGAAAGTCCCCTTGGCCATGTGGCTGGCCGTGGTGCACGGCAGGTCTGCTCAGGGAGAACCTGTTCCAGGCTGGGATTTCTGGATGGGGCCGGCGTCATTTGGCTGTCACGGTCTGCTGCTTCATCTGCTGCACCTGTTCTCTTTTTCCTGGGCTGAGCTTTACAAAGCTGTGTGTCCCTGGACTCCAAAGCACCTTTCCCTGCCAGCATTCCTGTGACATCCTCTAAAAAACTTAATTCTTCTAGGCTTGAAGCAATAGAGGAGTCTTTTCTTGTCCCTTCATAGTGTGCAATAATGAAGTTTTCCTCTAAACCTATATTTCTGGAATTTCTGTAGTGTTAATATTGAGATGTTTTCAGGATAGTGTTTTCTTTTCAGGAGAAATCAATAGAGAATATTTGGCACTGTTTTTCTCTTTATAAAGAAAATTTCCCCTGTAATTATGGAGGCAATTTAAGCTTACATAAAAAAAGAAAAGGAAAAGGGGAAAGAAAAATCTCATAAATCCTGTTACCCAGATGTAACAACTGTTGAATGTTCTTGCTTCTTTCCCCATGTTTTAAGAAAGCAGCCAATTATTATATCCTGCTTTTTTCTTTGATCCAATAACATTGTATTTTCTCATGTTTTTACAAACTCTTCCTAATCATCATTAGAAAATTTGAAAACCTTTTTTCTTGCTTAAACACTATTGTTAGTGATTCGTTTAAAAAAAGCACCTGAGATTGGAGCCCAGATGAAGGTTAAAGGTGTCAAAACTGCCCCTTGTCTGTTATTCTGAAACCTTTGTATAGTCAAAGGTCTGGAGTTTGTAATTTGGGTCAAAATCATTCTTAGCTTTTGCTAAGTGCTTTCCTTCCTCTGTGCCACAAGAGATTGGTAACTATCACAAATCAGTAAATCACAGAATGCTGAACTTGGAAGATCCATTGGAAATCATAATTTTCCCACTCCATCATTTCACAGATGAAGAAATTTAGAACCAGAAGGGACAGGTAATTTCTAGCTAATGAAGGAAAGACTCAAGGCCAGAAAAGCTAGGAGATAGTAGTAATGAAGGCATGCTGGGGTATAATCCCTAATTTGGCTACCCTCTGATTGGGCGTTTGACTTACTCATTTCATATCTTTTGTAAAATAGAGATAATAATGGTATCTTCCCTTTAAGGTATTTGAGAGAATTAAATAAGCTAATGGATATAAAGGTTTCAGAATAATGCCTCACATACAGTGAATATCTCATAACTGGTATTATCATCTTCATTGCCTTCATCATCATCATCATCATCATCATCATTGATGCTCTTACTTTGACATATCCACCTTCTGTAGTTGGAAGGGCTCCAGAATAGATGGAAGGATTAAAAATGAAGAATTACAGCTATGAGGAGAATTAATTTCAGATATTCCTCTGAAATTTCAGATAAAGCTTTATGTGATGACTTGCATATTAAGACTGAAAATATTATCTAAAACCCACCATTGTTTAGATTCCATATGGGGATGATTGCATTCAACTTTTTAATCTCTGGGTGTGTTGCACATAACTAACATTCAGCAAGTATCTATTGAACACGAGTAAATATCTGTTGTAGAGGAGTCCAGAGAGTGATGAATTGGGTGTCAGGCAATGTGTGTTCTCATCTGCCACTTTCTAGTTATTTGGGCAGGTCATTTAACTTACCCTGGCCTCAACATTCTCATTTGTAAAATCAGTTGGACTGTGATCTTCAGGTTGCCTCCTAGCTCTAAATGTAGGATTCTAAACAATGTAACATCATAAGATTACAATTTTTTTTCATTTTTTTATGTCAGACAGGTAATGTGCTGACCTTGTAACAAGGTTTGAGGGAGGCACGTCTTACCCATGAGGTGAAACCCCAATCATCACACTTATGAACTATTCAAAAAAGTCAAAATGATAATTTTATTACATCAGAAAAAAACAGTCAAACTGTGCTTATATACACAGGACTGAGTTCTTCTCTGATTATTTTCAGATTACAATAGTAGAAATTTTCTTGAACACTTGTTTCTCACTATTTCTTTCCTGGAGCTGGGGAACTCTGTAGTCCATTGGAATCAATTCAGATTTGAGTCTTAAAACTTTGAGGGCTGGGTCAGTGTCTTAGGTATGCAGTAAGGTGTGGCAACTCTCCTTACTCAGTATTTATGAGCTAGAGGGTTCCTTATCTCAAGGAGTGGCCTCTTCTAGAGAGTGCCTGAGCTGGAGTTTAGTAGCTACTCCCTGATTTGTGTAGAGGATTCCTCTAGAGTGTGTGTCAATTGTTTGACCTTAAACAGAGGAGAAAAAGAAATACAGACTTATTTAATCATAGACTGAAATGCAATGATTTCAGTCTAATCTGATAATTTTCAAAACCAGACTGGAATTATATTCAGGAACTATAGTTGTTGTAAACTGCGCTGTGTGTGTGTGTTTGTGTGTGTGTTTGTATTGAACAGTTTGGAAGTTAAGTATTGAGGCCTTTAGGTATTTACAATAAGCAAACAGTAGGGAATTTTGCTGAAGCTAGTCATAGTTGAAGAGAGGACATTCTACCAATGATCATTTTACCTTTCATTCATTGTGTATTTGGTCCCTGACTAAATATTAGCCATTTAATGTTCTGTGGGCTTTTATTTGGATGGACTAAATCATTTCTAAAGATACCCCAAGTAAAATTTTATTAGTTTCAGTCCCTTTCTCCTTCCAATTTCTTGATGTTTGGAAGGATTTGGCACAGTACTTGGCCACAATGCAGGGGCTACATAATTATTAGAGAAACACATGGTTAAGGTAGCTTGAAGGTGAAAGAAGATTAGTATTTTGTGTCATAGTTTTTAGTGGACATAATGTTTTTGGTGACATTGTGATGAGAGTCTTGGGTAAAGTGTCAACTTCACATCTGTGAAACTATGGTAGAACTTTCCAAGTGTCTTTTTACCCTTGTGTCCCCAAGAAATGCCCAGACCATGTCCCGTGAGTGGCCCCATTTTTCCTGAACTAATGAACAATAGCTACACTGTAACTTCTGGTGAATTTTTGAATTTTATTTTCTATGTAATGATTTATTTTAGAATATTAATGATATATGAAAGGTCAGAAACCAGGTAATCTCTACCAATGTAAAATTACTACATAGAAAAATCTTTTGAACGTTGGAGATAAAAGCTCTAATTAGGTGTAAATGTATGGGTATAGAAATAGTTGGAAATGGTGATAGCTACAGCAATTCATGAATTATTCTCGTGGGTAAATTAAAAGGTTAAATCATGCAGTTCTGCTTCATGCCTCTGTTTTTTACCTTTGGTAATTGGCAGAACAAAGTGTTGGTTCTGCCTGGCTCTTTGGTGAGAAATACAAAATTTTTAGCAATTAGAATAAACCTTGGAAATGTAAAAAGTTTCATATGTTTATGGCATATGACCCAGATAATTAAGCACTTTGTTTGTTTTTTTTAAAAATGGGTGATCATGTATGAGTTTTCTAATTCTTCTCTGCTTTGGTCAGTTATTTTATGTTTGCAATGTAGAAGGCTGCCAACACTTATTTTGTCATTTTCCAGCTGTTATATTTTTTTCAAATCCTAGGAAAATGTGTAAAAAGCATATAAAAATTTTTAAAATTTTACATCTGGTCTATGAGTGCCCCAAGCACATTTTTATAGGTTAACTTGCTTATTTTATGTTTAATATGACAATTCTGTTAGATGGAGACAGTGTACATTGATCTTAGCTTCTAGTCTGTGTCCCTCTTTGTTATTTTATAGAAATATATAATACCAGGTATTATAACGGTGGCAGTTATTATTACTTTTTTTTTTTTTTTTGAGAGATGGTATCCCATGGTCACCCAGGCTGGAGTACAGTGGTGCCATCATGGCTCACTTCAGCCTCCACCTCTGAGGTCCAAGCTGTCCTCCCATTTCAGCCTTCTAAGTAGCTGGGACCACAGGCATACACTACTACCTGACTAATTTTTGCATTTTTTGTAGAGATGGAGTCTCACCACGTAGTTCATGCTGGTCTCAAACTCCTGGTCTCAGGCAGTCCTCCCATCTCAGCCTCCTAAAGTGTTGGGATTACAGGTGTAAGCCAC